AAATTTCACATTTTTAAATTTAACAAAAATCTATAAAACAGGAATCCCCCTTATTGTACATTGCCTTTCCTTTCACACAAGTTAATGTGTCTGCCCTCCAGTTAATGGTTTGCTTTCTCATGCCCTGCCACCCCTGGTAACCATCAAAGAATACTTTTTGTGTGGAAACCTTTTCTGGACTTTGTACAATAGTGGTTTCATACAATATTTGTCCTTTTGTGATTGACTAATTTCACTCAGCATAATATCCTTTAAGTTCATCCATGTTATGCAGTATTTCACAGATTCATGACTGTTAACACTGCATAGTATTCCATTTTGTGTATGTAACATAGTTTATTGATCCATTTTTCTGTTGATGGGCATTTCGATTTTTTCCATTTTTTTGCTATTGTGAATAGTGCTGCAGTGAACATGAGTGTCCATATGTTTACTCATGTCCAGGTTCTCACTTCTTTTTTTTTTAATTTGTGTGTTTTTTTTAACTGTGATTTGGGTGAAAGTTTAGAGAGCAAATTCACTTTCCTTACAGCAGTTGTCATATACTTTGTCTCATTAAATTCACTATTTTACCTCAATGCAACAGCTCCCCTCCCACTTCCTCCCCATAGTTACCTCTTCCCTATGTCTTTCCTTCCATGCCTTCTTGCCCCCTGAGCTATTTCCCTGTGCATATACAGTCCTTCCAATTCTCCCATGATTGATCTCTCCAGGGAGTGTATCTACCTAGTGTAAATGTTCAGCTCATATGCCTGTCTTCTTTTTGGCTGGAAGCCACAGCTATGGGTTCAGTTCCAGACCTGAATGGCAGCTAGGGGCCATACTCTCTGTGGTTCCATCAGGCTCTATCAGAGCAGCAAACCTGGTCCTTTTTTTTTTTCCCAAATGGTTTTTAGTTTTGTTCCACATTGTTCTCCCAGTCTATCCAGGATCTCCTACGTAGACCCCCTCCAAGTGGTTGACACTGGTAGCAAGGCACCATCTAGTTCTCTTCTGGTCTCATAGTCATATAGGCTAAGGATCACATGGTGTACCAGTCGCTTGGACTAATTGTTTCCATGAATTTTTGGTTTTCTTCATTCTTCTTTGCTCTAGATGAGGAGAGACCCATCCTTGCATCTAGATGGCTGCCTGCAAGCTTTTTAGTTCCCAGTCACTACTCACCAAAGTAGGAGGTGCAACAGTGTTTTGTGTAGTAATGTCATGCCAATTCAGCTTGATGTCCCCTGCAACTATGGTCCTGAGCCCACAGGTCTAACTACTCGTTCCTTCTGGGTAGCTGGCTCTGCCCAAGAAATGATTACAACCTCGTCCCTTGTCAGCTCTACTATACACCTGAAAATTTTTACAGAACATATAAATACA